GAAAGCGAGGGTATGAGTGCAGCATCATGTTCAGAGTGCATACACCGTGAGCGGGGCCCGCAATGGTGGAGGGCCACAGAGAGTGCCACTCAAGAACGAAGGTGCAAAGCTGTCCAAGGCGCGAGTTCACGTGATTTCTGACTACAGCGGTTTCGGATGACCTTGCGACTCGGGCCCGGATTTTTGCGTCACCCAAAACGGCAATTCGCACTCAATTCCCGAAGAGGCATCCCAGTACGCGACTTTCCTCCTCTCATCTCTCTTGCATATCTCCCATGTATGCCACGCTCTTCCGCACAATGTATCACATAGACAAGCCACAAACATCCAGTCAGACTAAATGATGTATCGAGCGTACGGGTGCAGTGAATATACTGTATTTACAGTAATCTGTAACACATAGAAAGCCGGAGTCGGAAGAGACGAGGGAGACACGGACGCAACACCGACAATGACCCTCACATCCTACCACGATATCCTAAAAACAACGCTCTAAAACATATGTACAGGAGCTCACCATAAACAACCCTTGATGACCCCCAGCTGTCTCTGACCAACTCATTACAGTATCGTCCCCTATCATCCCACTACAACTGCCGTCAGATTCCCGTGGTCGTACGTATCGTACACGGTTCGGTGCATGCACCAGGCGTTATCGTAGATGATTGCCGACCTTGAGAGCTGAGCTTGGGTTTGTTGAGCTACGCATTGACAGAGGTGGAAGGGGCAGCACGCTGTCGGAGAGCACGACATGGAAGACGAGATGAAAGTCGCGTACTGGGACGCGTCAGTTGCCTCTTCCAGAAATTCAGGGGTCAATTGCCGTTTTGGGTGGCGCAAAAACTCCGACGCCGAGTCGCAAAGTCATCCGAAACCGCTGTAATACCGGTCGGCCCTGACCGGCCTGACCATCGTGCTCACCTCATCTACGCTTCTCGACACACGAACTCGTCGGACGCGCCAATGTTATCTTGCCTCTAGGTTTCGCGGTCCTTGTCATGGTCAAGAAATTACCGTGATGGCCTTGCGCTCGTGCGGCAATACACCGGTCCCACAACACGCCTTTCGCTCTCGGACTAACGCTGTTGGAGGACCGTGCGAGGGATTGAAAATGGGAGTCCGCGCTGGGAAAAAGTCTAAGGGCGCAGCGAGATTACTGTATGGTACGTTCCTCTCAGCTGTTTCTTGGCTCTGCTCCCCAATCTCCCAATCATCGCCATCGATATATTTGGTGGCCTTATTTCTCCTTTCTTTTCTCCTCGCTACCCAAATTCATCTATTGCACTGCAGGCGCCGCTCGCGTTCCGGTAAAGTACAAGCTCCTACGGTATTTTCAAACACCCATACGTCTCTATTGAGTTCTAAGTGCCACCACCGGGTAACTCCTGCAGACGCTGCCGAACCAAAGTTAAGATCAAACCCATAAGTTCTGCACGTCAGATCTTCTATGTCTACTCAGAGGTTTCTTTCACTTCCCCTTTCAACATCTGAAGCCTCAGAGTCCCTAGGAGAGTCGGGCCCCGCGCTCGATGGAGTCATGCTCGGGCCCCCTCAAAGTCAGCGGCGAAGGTCCAGCTCTTGGAGTGGTTTGATATTGTAGTGATTCATTGTTGTGAGCTCGGATATCGTCGTTCAAAGTGGGTCCGTCGCCGGTGACATTGATAGCAGGTATGTTCTTCAGACAACTCCCATTTTAGCGTTCCATTCCTGATCTTGACACAAATGTGCAGAAATATTTCACTTGGGGATGACGAAGCCGTGGAAGGCTCCGCACCCAGTCAATCTGGTGAGCTGACGACGTTGATATACGAGGCCGACTCTGGGGGAAGCTGGGCCTTTAGGTAGGGAACTCAAGTGTCGTTACCGTAGTTCTGTTGTATATAGCGTAACTGTTCATGAAACAATGATGGGTTTGGATCCCTGCATGTTTTATGAGCTCACACAGTGTCTGTTGTTTCTGTGCTGTCCGCGAAACAAATCCAAGTTTTCAAACCAGGCCATGAGTTGATTCAGTTTCATGGTTTGACTTGTTTGTTCTGTTTCTCGCCACCGAAACTGCCGAAAACTACCGAAGCCTAGGGAGTAGTTTACTGATGCGTCGGAGTATGCAGCAGTGCAGCCCTCATCCTCTTAAGCAACGGTGCACGATCGCCCTCACTCCAGAGATACAGAGTTCGTTGGATAATTTTCTCGAAGCCTCACAACACTTGACATATATCTAAGCTGTCCGTTTTCTGTGATACTAGGTTACCACTAGGATACCGACGCTCCCGCCTCATTCCGTCATCGAGTCTGCCTTTCTGGGAGAAGGTATGCCTGACCGACCATTGATTCTCTCGTAGAACGTAAAACGGCAGCGATTTATTCAGCGACGCACATCAACGGGAGCCTTTACCATGTACATTCCACTATTTACAGCGATGCACAAAAGCCACAAAAGTCGTCTCCCCATACCAAGCAGGAAAATATGATACAAACCGAAACAAGAGACGTTTTAGACTTCAGAGGAGGGATACCTGGGCTTCTTGACTGTCATCGGAACGCTGTCACATATCAAGTCAATATAAATTCACGATAATTTAGAGAAGAGGATTGACCTGCCTGTAATCCGATGCCCGCTTCAAGCGTGGGCTCCTCCTCACCGGCTCTTTACCCTTTGCACGACGGCGGGAGGAAGACGGCCCTTCTCCGGCATCGGAGGGACCTTCGACCTATCGTCGATGCCACGATCAGCTTCCAAAACCAGACGACATGGGGCCGAATACACTGACGAACTCGGGAGTCGAAACAAGGGACATTGAGCTCATGGGGCCGTCAGGATACTGTATGTTCGCCATGTCCACGTCGGCGGACTCGTTGACCTATCATGAGTCAACACATATCATACATAGAGAACTTAAATGTACTAACCTGCTGGCTCTGATCGTTACCGTCACGCTCCTCGCTGGGAGTCGCATTAATCTGGGCATAGTGTGCCATCAAGGCATCGAATGGGTCCTAAAAATGTTGTTTTTGAACGAAACATCTCAGGAACGAATTAGATGTTTACTCACCCATGCCCCGATGGGCTTTTCAGTCAGTATCAAATCGTGGAGCATACCTTCGACCTTCTGCTCATCAGCCTTGAAAGCGTGGGGTTAGTGGATGTGCAGCCGTCTGTATATAGTGAAGTAAGCGTACCTGTCGTTTGAGTTCAGCCATGAGGGCTGAACAGACGAAGCGACGGAGGGCGGTATACTTTGCGTTGGCGTCGGAGACGCGGAGCTCAGCCTGCTCCAGGACATCGGAGACGACGTTGGCGTCATAGAGTACTTCGTGTAACAGCGCCTGGGACTCTTCTAATTTGGTCAAGAGGGAGTTCGAGTCCATGATGGGTGGATATAGAGGTAGGAAGGCGAATGGGGAGGTAGAAAGACGAATGGGGAGGTAAGAGAGATGGGCCAGTGCGGTTGTTATATACTACTGAAGAAATCGACTTTATTAAATGCTTCTGGGTAACTGTAAATTATTCAAGCCACCGTTGAACGTATCCAAGAATAAATTCCAAAGATGGAGACGTAGCTCGAGATACCCAGTTTGAGTTAGCAAACCTTGTTCAAATCGAGATTCATGAACAAGAGTGAAGGGTCCCTTGGACTTCTAACCAAGCGAAAGGTCGGTGAGCACCTGTTACCAAAAGCTTAATATGAGGTCGAGTTCCTCTAGCAGCAAAGTGGAACAAAGTTCAGATACAAAGAGGGCGACGGCAATCAATATCCCGCGGACCATTTCAGCAGCTCCGAACAGACAGTCGTGGTATCTTCTATTTTATTTTTCCTTTCGAATTCTGACACGATTATCGCGGCCTTAACATAAAGAGCGAGTGCGGCGAACCCAATCGAGCGGCATCTTTGCCTGGCCTCGAGAAACAAAGTTTTGAGAACACTGGCATCGAGATTCTGAGCCTAGGCTAAACCGCAGCGGAGCGCGATGTACGTTAGAGGACGTACATTTGTTTCCGTGCAGCGTGAGCACACGACGATCAACGGCCGGAGTCCTTAAGACGTCGCAATGCGTAAGGCGCAAAGCATCGTGATATCAATGAAACTCATATACATCCAAAGTTGCCAAGTGACAAGGTTTTTGAAACCCCAAACAGGGCCTCTGACTGCTGGAACCGCTCTCGTCTCTACTAAAAGCCGCTGTGCACCAATGGAGCAAAACTTTCGCTTCTACGAACTTCAAACCGTGACATTCGGCAGTATGCGCTCACCATTGCTTCGACGATATAGGTGAGAACTGCGCGGTTACTTCGCGCTGGAAGAAGGTTTTCTTTCCCGCATTGAGAGTCAGGAAGTGACGACGATTCGGAGGGCTTCCATGCCCATATCGGAGCGGCGACTCTTAGGTTGCTTCGTACGATAGGAGCGTTGATGGGTACAAGCGTACTGAGGCTGTACTGGACAAATATCGAGAGCCATCCCTCCGAGAAACTTGTGCGGATTATCAGATGATCCTGGAGAGTATGAGATACAATAGGCATCGAATATAAGAGAACATGCAGACCGACCGAAGGCTGGAATAACGTCCATCAGCGTTGCGAAGAGCCTTTGTCAGGTGTGAATGTGACCGAGGTTCGGGAGCGGCAGGATCTTTTGGAGCGCAAAAATCTCGTCTAGAACACGAGTCTACTGTCCTTGTCCCTATGTTCGGACAATTCCGACAAGAAAAAATCTAGCTGCCGCAATTCGAGTCCTATGGAGGCGAAACTCAGCAGAAGGTATCTGAATGTCCGTGCAAAGTTCTACGAGAAATAATGGGAGGAAGGTAGACGTTTGACGAGGGGGATCAATACTTATTCGGACAGCCGCGCCCGCCAAAGTGTCCGAACTGACCCCTTCCCCGTTCGACATCCCGCTGCCACAACTGCAGCCAAACGACTGCGGATATGGTCTGTAGACCATTTAACGTGATTTATGGGCCTTTGAACTGGGCAAAACAGTGCGGTATCGGGCGAGTCTTCGGACTGTCCGAACATATGGCCACTGATAGTAGCCTGGGAACGCAGGTTGACAGCTCTTCCGGATTTAACTGTAGGATAGGGGTAATTTAGCGCCGCTGTCTCGCCATCCCATCAGCTTGAAACGCTGCTGACAAGAAGCTCACCAACCCAGCTTGGCTTTGTGCGATAGCTGACCGAGTAATCCGTGTTGACCGCAAGTCAGGGTGATCCGGAACGGTAGTCAAGAAGGTTCAAAACAAATCTCGTACTTTGAGTATGACAATATCACCTCACTGGGCCAGTGAAGAAGCCTCGGGTTTCGATTGATACGTCCAGGCCAGAGAAAACGGGGAGCGGATGACGGTGTTCGTCCGCAAAAGTACTCCAGAATACAACTTTGCAAAGTTTTGCGGGTTTGAGCGGGATATGATACGAGAGCAGTGTTTACAACAACTATGACGTCTCACCGCAGTAGCTTCCTCTTCGTTGGATGGACCCGTTTAGGACCGTAGATCCTTCACTAACACCATTTTCCATATCAGTTAGAAAGAGTAGCACGCACCGAAGGAACAAGAAGCAGTGGACACACGGCCAGGGCAGTCCAGGGGAGAGGGTCTTCAAGGCAGGGACCGGCGTGCAGACATGGTCGACGCAGTACAAACCGTTTCAGGCCAAAACAAGCGCTCTAATTAACCTTGATTTGTGGTCTCGATCACTGCCGTGTCCAAGTGACGAGGGTGTGTGGCGAGGGGTTAGCAAGGTGCCACCCAAAGTCCTTACCAGACAGAGGTGCCTACGAGGCAAGACATGGGACGAGCCGGAGGCGAGCTCTGTTTCTTGTATTCCTTAACATTGATCCGATGCGATTGATGATACCGAAAATTGCGGACTAGATATCTAGCCAAACGTAATTTTTTGCGTTCTCAGAGAATCGCCCGACCGCGTGTATCTCTAAGCAACGATTAAGGCCCAAATGCGCGTATTGGACGGCATCCCAATGTATACAGAGGAGGATGTCGCGATAGCGAGAGAAAATATAAAAGTACTGAACACTCACGACACCGGACAAAAGAGAGAATGCCGTTGCGAAGGACGTTCAATATAAGGGAAACATATAAACTGCCGGCAGCTGAGACGACGCACCAAATGCAGCATAAAATCGGCTGCAACAGATGATGCCGAGCACGGATAAGCTCTGTAACAATAAACGTCATAGAAAGCGACGATACAACTAGCAAAACAAATAAGACAATGTCTCATGACGAGCCCAGCCAAAGCGGAAAGAGATAGTAAGTGGCCGACATAGAGGGAAAAGGCATGCAAGTAACAACACCGAACGCTGTGGAAAGAGGTGATGAAGTGTGAGAAAACGAAGTGCTCATCTACGAACCGTCCAGCTTGACGCGAATTATTCAAATCTAATCATATCCGTACTCGTCAGGTGCATATAATGAAGAGTTATCACAGCTGAAATGAACGTCAGAGTCGGATATATACGCGGATGACGAGGCATGATACAACGTGAAGAACTCGTGACTTTGATGCTCCGATGAGGGAGCGAAGATATGCGTGTTCCCTGATGCCTTCGTCGACGGACAAGTCTGGTGGTGCTCAGCGCTCTCATACCGGTTATCGAGAGATATGCTCTCCATCTCGAGTAGAGACATGGGGAGTCCTTGAGCTATGGGGCGTGGAGCGGTGACGGACAAGGTCGAATCGATGAAAGGATAGATGGTATCGAATCGAGAGAAAGAGTCGTCGTGAGAGATGGACTCGCCATGGGGCAAAGAGGATATCGGAGCGTATGGGGGTAGGTGGGCGAACTCATCACCTTCAGCGAGGCTAGGAAGACAAGATGTATGTGTGTTGACGTGGCCAAAAATGTCCGATTCTCCTTCTGAAGAGGTAGTCGAGAAATCCCAGGTCATCGAACCAGGATTTATGGGCGGGCACTCGGAAACGAGGTTGGAGGGTGACGCATGGGCGTCATTGTCGAGCTCCTCATTCTGGACTTGAAGTTCCTTGACAACCGAGAGGTCGGATTCGCGAGATGAAAGACTTTGACTGATGAGCCGAACATCGTCTACTCGAGGGGGCTTTGGAGACGCTACGGATCCCCTGGGGTCGTCGTGATTTTTTGGGGGGGCGAGATCGGAGACGTACTGGCAGGGTAACCCTTTCACGATACAGCGAGAACAAGCTGGACGCGTTCCAGAGCACTAAAGCGTTACGAGAGTGGTGAGAATCAGAGGACGCAAGGTAGGTCCGATTCGTACGAGCAGGAGGAAAGAATGACAGACCTTAGACTTGCGCGCACGGCAGTTCTTGCATGCCTCCGTCGAGCGCAGCTTGCTATGCTGTTCGAGGGAGCAAGGAGTAGGGGACCGCAAGAATACGCAGTCTCCTCCACGACCTGGAAAAGCGCCAGACCGATAATTCTCATACTCGTTGCCCCAGGGGACGTGGTACGGCACCAGGTCCCAAGGATCGTACTCGTATGGTGACTGCGAGACATGAATAGAGCCGGGAGAGCGTGTACATGCCGAACTTGGAGAGGAGCAGTCGGATGCAGGATGGGAGGAGGAAATTGGACCCCATTCCTGTCGTCTCAAATGGCGGACATTGGAATGTGAAAGAAGACCGGGCGTGTTACTTTGGTTTTGACAGTTGGCTACACCGTCGGTAAAGACGACGGGCGTAGCGAGGCTGTCATCGGCGGCCATATCACAGTTGGGCTTGGTGAGTTAAAGCAGTCGCAGGACATGTACATGCAGAAGAAGAACGCAGTGAGTTGATCGCCCAGTGACCAAAGCATCGGGCTCCTACAAAGCTTAAGCTTCAGACGTCCCATCGTAAGAAAGGACCTTGCCTAACCATTCTCACGGTCCCGTATTGGGAGCGGAAAGCTGTGGTTTCGCAATGTAAGTTTGCCTCGCGGCTTTCAACTTTCCTCCAAAAACTGGCTCTACCTACTTAATGACTCGATAGATTCTCGCAGTTTCTATTGTACGAGAGGCGGATAGGACAGATGAAAGTCGTCCTGAAGCATTCGCGTTGCTGACAGCTTATATAGAGCTACTAAGTAACAGCAGCGGGAGGCGGTATCTATACCAGAATGACTGGGAGTGAGTAAACGGAATTGAAGTGGAGGATCAGGAGAAAAGCACCATCATGGCACCGGAATCATAATTCAACGACAATGCGAAATGTTGAGGGTTTCTCATGTGCTGTTCAAAATGATGGACCAGAGCGAAGGCTCGGATTTGCCGAGTTTGGCAAGCCCGAGGTCGCAATTCCACTCGCGTCTACGAAATAAAATAAGCATCGCAGTTGAAACCGCGACATTGCGTATTGATACCTCTGTAGAACGGCACTCGCGCTAGTGCTCTATACGACATACTGCGGCGTGAGCTCAGTGAGGGATACCTAGTACTATCACTCCAGCAGTGTTCGGTCGCAAAACACAGAAAGTCTCGTAGGGCTCTTCCTCCGCCCTCTTACCTCACGAGATTTTGTATACATGCTGGCAAACATGTATGCTTCAACCCTAGGTACTCACATTGACCAAAAGTCGTCTCTGCTCCTGTCCGGATCAATTCCGGTGGTCGCGGATGGGTGTTCGGTCAATTCTCCGCCACACCATTGCGCTTCGTTTTGTTGAGAACACCCAACCTGTACTCCCTCGGAGAATTATGCAGTACCATTAATCCCATAGAGGTATTTAACAGCCAACGGTCAAGAAAAACGAGAAGGAGCTGCTGCTCAGAGAGGTGCAATATGGGCTAAACGGCCTAAAACGGCCTTTTTTATCCTTTAGTATATTCCCCACTCATAGACGAGACATTGGTTTGTGCCCAAAGCGTGTGTACGTCACTTTGATAACCCTGGCTATCATCTCAAGAAG